TCTATATCAAATATTTGTTTGTTGGTTGGCTTAGACATATCATTGATCTTGTTTCATCAACCAATAAGTTATTTTATTACCAAGCTTTCGGGCCTTAGGCCCATCATCAGGGTTAATGGAGTCAACACTAAAAAACGTTACAAATCCACGCACGATATGGCGTAAACAACATTATCCTCGAGCGCTTACAAAAACAAAAAATAAGCGCGAGCTATAATTAAGGTTGAGTTCTATAATTACAATATGTTCAATTCAATAGAGAAATATAATTATCAGGCAGTTTTCTGCCGATAATGCCGGATAATGTTGTTTACGCCATATCGTGCGTGGATTTGTAACGTTTTTTAGTGTTGACTCCATTAACCCTGATGATGGGCCTAAGGCCAGAAAGCTTGGTAATAAAATAACTTATTGGTTGATGAAACAAGATCAATGATATGTCTAAGCCAACCAACAAACAAATATTTGATATAGACTTCGATATTTTTTTGTGGGTGTCAGAAGCTATATAGTAGCATTAATAACGTATTTCAAATATCCTATATCCTAGGTTCTTTTTGATTTAACTAGCTCAATAGCAGTGTATAGTAATTTTGCAGTGTAATCTTTATTGACATCAGTTTCCTTATTGACATCAGTTTTCATCGCTAACGGCGCGCAGAATTCAAATCATGATGGCCTTAAATGGTGAGCGCCATAATGTAGGTCAGTAGCTTAAAGGGGTCTTTCAAACAGCAGACAAATGTTCTGATGTTGTTCGCAGCTATTTTGTTTTTAATTCCTAATCAGAAGACATCAAATATGTTTTTCAAAAACTACATTAATACGTTAAAGAGGCTTAGTATGGATCGGATATACATGATCAAAATTACATATTTCGTAAATCCTTACAGATGTAATTGCACTTGTAAATCCAAAAAAAGTTAAAATTTAATTGATTGATTGTTTTGACTTCAACGAAAAGGCCATCCACATCATTCATTTAGTTTAATAAAGAAAAGCACAATCTTCGCGTATTTTAAATCATACTCTGATCTATGTTTCCTTTGTAAATCAGTAAAATATTTGAGATGAATTGCATTGGATAATTGTCACGGTTCCAACCAAAGTTTAATAAAATAAATAACTAAGTAATAGATAACTTCTAATTTTAGCTAACCTCACACATGTCGCACTAACTAAATGGAAGCTTTTTGTCGAACGAACATTCACGTGGTCACGCTCTCTCTATATATGGGCTAAATAATATTGACTTATATATATTAATTCACTCCAGTCCACACACTCTCGGTGCACTTTAACCGGCAGTCCTTATTTCATTAAACYCGTACACGTTGGTCGTCAGATTGTAGTTCCACACACGTTTCTAGTTAGTTGCACRTTTGCTTCAGGGAGTGCCAAACTTTATTACGGCCCACGCTCCAGAGATGCAGTTATATCGCCGTTTTGGCCCGCACGTTCACTCCTACGTGGTTGTTCCACCTTCTTTAGTTTTCTTGYCACTCCACTCGCTGTGTGTATCTCTTGTTACTCTRCTTGAAGCTGCAATCGGTCTTCGGTGCTTTCGTCTTGTGTGTTCTGAATGTTTCTACTATAATATTCTCTCCAAACAACACTCATAAGTTTATAAATTTGAATAAAAATGTCCGTGCCACAAAACCAATCATTAGATAATTTTTCCCAAAGGAAAACATACTATCTCTTGTCACGCAGTAACGTGACAATAATACTGTTTTTCAAAGTATAAAAGAACTTSTAATAAATGTATCTTCCACTTTTCCATGCTTAAGACGTTACGCAACACCTATTCATGTGACGGCTAAGTTGAGGCATATTCATGTAACGCGCGCTACCGTTCCAAGTGCTATATTGCTCCTGTCCTCTGATGTATGTAATATAACTTAGTTTGCAACTAGTAGATCTCGGAATTCATATCCATCTGGGGGACAGAGCAATAGTTTCTAGCCCATATTTACAAAACATCGTGCATGGTGTTGCTGTTGTTTCTTTTTTTAGTAATAAAATATAAAATATATATGTAAAAAGTAAAATATGTAAAATATATTATATTGTTTTTTTAGTTAAAATGTGAGGAGCGCCCCAAAACACAAAATCAAGTCCAGCGGACCAACTTACTTGCCAAAGACTTGATGTCAATCATGGATAAGGATTCATCAGAAAAACTTGAAAACGACCTGGATCAATTCAACGAGAAATGGAGAGAAAMCAACGCAGCTCTAGAAAGTTTTAGTGATAAAGGTTACAACGAGAAATCTGAATGCTGCCTGATGAGAATCATTAAGAGGAAATTCAAATCAACCAATAATTAATGGACATAGTCTATATATATTAGGCATAAGCAGGTCTTACCACGCATTCCAGGGTCTGGGGAATACCGGCCATATATAAGAGGACTCAGATAATCTTCATAGAATGTTAGGTATCTTAAAAGTACTGCAAATTGGGTGTGGCTTTCAGTAATATAAGGTCAACCTTAAAAGTATGTTACCAGCATGTATTAAAAGCATAAAAGTTTAAATCAAACTATATTTATATCTGAAACATCGATGATGGCGTGATGTTATCTTTATTTGGTGCTCTATTGGTGAGTAAGTTAGGGGAAATGTAGATTCTGAATAAACCGGACAAAACCTGAATAAACCAAAAAGTGCTGCCAGATCGCTAAYAAGGTTCGACAATCGTAATATAAATAAGGTTGTTACATTCTTGCGGCGTAAGCCGGAAATATATTRATAAAAATGGCTTGATATAGTTGAAGTTAGTAAATAAAGAAAATAAAGARAAAAAGGGAATTTCATTATCCAGACTTCAAGAAAAATCGCTTGTGCAATACTGATATGACATTTGCTGGCTTATTAGTAAATTTAATAGAACTCTTTAAGTCCCTGGATTAAAGTTGAAAATTTAAAAAAACACTGCTTTAGAATAACACGAAATGGCTCTCGGAGGAACTGAATGAAAAGTCAATGAAAAGAGTAAATTGATAAAAAAAATGTTATGCTATATTTTAAAACAAGCTTGCCGTTTATGAATCAATCAATCTCCTAATCACCTCAAGTTACTAGAGCTTTTTTTTTGCTTCCACACGTTCTGTCCGTCTTTTTCCCACATGTCCTCTCCACTGCATGTATTCTGTTTCGACATATCATTACCCAAACACATTCGTACCCGTCCCTCCCTCTCTACAAACAWTTCCCAAACATCATCTCTTTCTCAATGCAAAAGTGCGTTGTCTACACGCTTTGCYACCCTACACGCCCCTCTCACACATCCCTTATATATCCACCACGTGATGATTGGCTMCACAGGCAACCCGCCATACTCTTAATGACRCTTGATCTGTTCCCTACAAACATTAACCATATCCGGGAACTCCTCAGTCCTCACATAGTTTCTAACAAGTCCAAGCTTGCCTTACATASGTTTGCAAGCTGTATCTACAAAATACAGAAACTCAGTGGGGTGGCCTAGTGGTTAAGGTGTTTTTGTTAGCATACGTGTCTCAGGATCTTGATGTGATTCGTTTTAGCTTTATTCAACTACTGACTCTTTCTAAAAATTACAAGGTATTTTCTAAGCTACAAAATCAGTTCAAATTTCTATTTACTTATCTTTGACACTAGAAGCAAGGTCCCTATTGGTAGAGATACTAAAAGGGTTTAATTACGAATTAAATTAACAATGTCAACTTTAAGATGACGGAGTACAGAAAACACTTTTAAAAGATATATCTTGCTTCTAGCGTAAAGTTCTACAATACTACATTGTTGATTCGGTCCTAAATGCATTTTCATATATAAACCTTGCTATTAAATGTTATTAGACTTCGAGCATAAAAGAGATCATTACTAATTTCATATTAAGTACTTGTAACCATTAATGCAACATCGGACACTAGCCTAGGATGATAGACAGGTCCTTCAAGCTATTTGCAAATAAGTAAATACTCTAGAAAATAGCAGGAAAATACTCTCAAATAACATGTTARAATGTTGATCTAAAGAAGCAGATCTCTAATAACACGATAAACAAACTTATCATAAATGACATATCCTTAAAATTCTAGTAAAAGGTAATTACGAGTAAATATCAAATGACTCTCATATGAAATTACAATATCTTCGAAGTTTTAAAATATTATCAATAAAGCTCTTAAGTTAATATCCCAAATCAAATTATATATCTTTTTTGTTTTGTTTTATAATGCTGAATTTCTAAATACCATAGCTGTCCCTATGATTCTGTTGTGGAATAAAATAATCTATAGGAACAACGTGATATACAGCCTTTTGCACAAATTATGAGAATTGTCGAAATATCTAAATATCTTAATATCAAGTGCATGATGGGTAATCCCGCGCGATGCCCTTAGTCCCTTGTCTTTGTAGTTTAGKTTTTWTTTTGGCGGYAGACTTATCCATAGTTCTGAACATTTTCTTGATGTCAACAATGAATTATTCTAGCAAACCCGGGTGTTCCGGACAATATATGGTATGGATATTATGATATTTAGATATTTAGACAATTCTCATAATTTTTGCAAAGGGCTGTATCATATAATTGAATATATATTGAATATATTGAAATTTTGGCTCCTTAACATTTTGATCGTAATAATTAGCGCTTCGCGCGTATTTTTAAACTCCAACTACGTCGCAAATATCGATTACATTGCACTCAAATTTTCACAGAAGTAACAGTGAWTATCGATAATTTCGAATTGTTTGAGCAAAATGATATACATTCGAACAACTCGAAATTTTAGGTTAAGATTTTATTGACACTTCGTCGTCAGTATATCAATTATGTTATAAAGAA